GAAAGGAGCGGCCATGAGCCCGCCGGGACCGAGGAGGGGGCTTTTCTCCCAAGAGAGCAACGGCGCGGCTCTGCCCACCCGTTCCTGGCACCGAAACCCTGCGGCTGAACCAGGGCAGGCTCTGCCGTGCCAGGGCTCGTGCCGCGGGCTCTGTGCGGTGCAGAGCGCGGTCAGCCCCGGCTGCAGGACCTCCCCCCCTGCCCTCCCGACACGACCCCCGCAGCAGAGCGCATCCCTGGAGCCCATCCCGGGGAGGACCAACGGAGCTGGAGGGGCTCGGCAGGTCTCCGAGCCGTCGCCGTTGCTATTCGTTACCCGGCATGAAGCGGGGCGGTCACGAACGTCCCGCTGGCACGGCAGACGGGGTTTGGGTTTGTTTCTTCCCGTGTTCCTTCGGAGTGCCGTTCCCCCTCCGCCCCCTCCCAAGCCGCAGCAGCGGGCTCCCCCGGCCGTTTCGTCTCTGTCTTCGCTTCCAGTTGTCGCTTTATCCTCTGTTTTATCACTTTATCCTCTCTCGAATCAGATTTGAGGGGGCTTTCGCTCTTCGCTTGCTGGGTATTTCGTAGGTTTTGGCCGAGCTGCTTTCATTTCAAGGGAGATCTCTCAGCCAGAGTTCACGGTGATGTTCCCGGCTGGCGCCGCGTCCAGAAATCCTGGCTCTGGCGAAGTCTGCGGTGCGCGCCGCGCTGCAGCACGCTGGGAACGCCGGGATCGGAGCAGCTGGCCGGAGACGGGCTCGTGCCATCAAGTTGTCAAGATACCTCGAACCTCAAACGTCACTTTTTTGCTATTAAACAACTTCTGGCAAGATTTCTCCTCCCGAATGCCACGTGTTTGCTGCGGGATTGAGCCCCCCCGAGGAGGAACCCAGGCGACCGTCGCGCTGGGATGTGAGGCTTGTCCCTATGCGGAGAGGAAGACTCGTGTTTAAGCTCTCGTTAAAGCGGGATGCTAACGAGCCGTGCTGCAGCCCAGGCAGTGGGAAGACGGACGTTGGTTGCTGCTGCGTCGCTCGCGCCGCAGTTTAGGGAGCGCGGGAGCTTCCCGGCGCAGCGATGACCTGCCGTACGGTGCAAATTGCACACGAGGCGAAAGGACGCAGCTGCCGGGATCGTTTGGAAGAAGTGGGGTGACCTTCGGAGCACGGGTACCCGGGGGGCGTTTGGCGCAGCCTCGTAGCACGAGCCCTTTACGTCTAACTCCAGTGGTGCAAGCGTTGGAGCAGCAGAGCCACGCGGAATCATCGCGTCGCAGGATGGTTTTGGGTGGGAAGGGACCTCTAAAGGTCACCTCGTCCAACCCCCCTGCCCTGGGCAGGGACATCTGCAACTAGATCAGGTTGCTCAGAGCCCCGTCCAACCTGACCTGGAATGTGTCCAGGGACGGGGCATCCACCACCTCTCTGGGCAACCTGGGCCAGTGTTTCACCACCCTCAGCGTAAAAAATGTCTTCCATCTAGTCTAAATCCACCCCCCTTTAGTTTAAAACCATTCCCCCTTGTCCTATTGCTACAGCAGAGGTTTGGCTTTGGCAGTAAAACCGTAGTTAACGAAGCACAGCCGCTCTAATGAGCACAGGGAGCTCCAGGACGCCCCAAAGCCCGGAGGCAGCCCGGGGCAGGGCCGGCGCGGGCTGCACGGGGCAGCCGAGGCGACTCCGTCCACGACGGGGCTCTGTGCGAGTGCCGGTTGTGCGTACAGCCGTCATTCCCAGCAGTGACTCCATCGTTTTGCCCCAGGGACAACATTCCTTCGTTGCCAGAGACTTGCCCGTGCTGGCATCCTTTGGCGGCTTGTGGCACACCGGCATGGCGTGGGCGAGCCGGGCTAGCTGGGCCTGGGGGGCTCCTCTTCTCCCAGCCCTCAACGGGGCGGATTTCGGTTTAGCAGAGCTCAAGCACGGCTCCAGCCAGCTCAAGACCAAGCTCAAGACCAAGAGGGACGGATCCGGAGGCAGCAGGTGGGAGCAGCCCAGGCTTCGGCGAGCCCGGCACGAGGGGACCGGCGGGCGGCCGGCGCCTTCCAAACCCACCTCCCCGCTACCCAGAAAAGCAGGTTTTCCCGGGGTTAGACACGTTGCCGAATTACTTCGTTTTGAGACCCTGGGATTAGCAAGTCCCTGAAGAGCGGGGGCTTCCGCGGCAACGCCGGGGCTGGTGACCGGTGATCCAGCCTGATTCCTGCGTCCTCCTCCTGTTTCCCCTCTGATGTGAGCAGCCGTCAAGGTGACCCGGTAAAACCCACCGCAGCGATGGGCGTCCCATCGGCCAGGGGCCCCGGGGCATCGCCGGCAAGCTGGGCCCTGGGGCTCTCGGCGGTCCCGGG